GCATTAACAATAGTTTAGAAACATGAAAAAAAAAAAAAGGAGAGAGAGAAAAACAAGAGTACATTTTATATTAATGAGTTGGTTAAGCTTGCTATATATCCCTAATTAATAAATTAATATGTAGTAAAATAATTTCTCTAATTATTTGATGTATATTAAATTAATATATTTATTATTATTTTTCGTTACATATACATTAAACCAAAGGAAGAGAAAGAGACATACCTTTTGATTTTCCCTTTCATGAAAAGCTCACTTGATAATAAACATATTTAAATCTTCCTTTCATAAAATATTCTCATTATTATCATTAATTTTGTAATATTATTACCTGTCTCTTGAAATTCTCTTCCTACTATATATATAATCCATTGATTTCTTTTCAAGGCAATATTGATATAAGAAAAAAGAAATATGGAGTATGCTAACCAATGAGATATGCAAGTACAAGGGCTTTCTGCAATGAGAATGGCAATGTGAGGTGCAACACATTTTCAGGGAAGTGAAGTGCAATCCGTATTTACATGACTTTGAGATTTTACCATTTAGAAAGGGAAGAGATACACCTAATTTGATACATGAGCATCTTAGAAATGATTTGTTAGGAGTGTGTAGATTTATAGCCTCCAAATTAATTGGCACTTAAGCACTGTTCATTGTAATTTTTTTTTTTTTCACTTGATTGTTTCTTTTTTTGTTTTTGTTTCTTAATTAAAATTCCTAACAAAGTTCTCTATTATTGTTATTGATTAAATATTTATAATTCATGAAATCTATTAACAAATTTTGGGGCCAACTTATACTCTTGATTATTTCCACTAGATTTTATTTGTTCCTAAAAGTTCCTAACATTTTTTTTTTTTATATAATTCATTAGATCTATTATCAAGTTACTCTATTATCAAAGGTAAATAGTTAATTTCTATTGCTGATTATTTTTACTAGATTTTATTTTGTTTCTTAAAATTCCTAATAATTATTTTTTTCTTAGTGATTAATTGTTCCAAGAATATAAATTATTTTCTTATTAGTATTCTAATTTTAGCTTTTATTATAATTTTTAAGCTCGAATAATGTTATTTTTATTTAATTTTTTATTCATATTTCATTTTTTATTTTTAAATGCTTTATGTAAACCTTTTTCTCATGACATCTTATCTAAAAAAGTAAGTTTTTGCATTTATATATAAAAATAATAATAATTAAATATATATAATATAAGTAACTGAAAAAATTAATCATTTGGTAGATGAAGAAACAAAACCATAGCCAATTAATTTTTCAATGTAAGATAATTTGGATGAATATTATAATA